ACTAGGCCACCAGTGCCAAGGAATTGGTGGCATACCAACTGACATACTTAAAAAAAACAGACGGTGCCCTCAATGTGTTCACCAAGTTGTGTCAAGAAATCTGGAGGACAGCCACCTGGGCAACTGACTGGAAGAGATCTATATCTTTTCCCATTCCAAAGAAAGGTGACCTGACAGAGTGTGGACATTATCAAACAGTATCATTAATATCACATGCAAGCAAGATTCTGCTGAAAATGATCCCAAAATGATTGGAACAGCACATCAACAGAGAACTGTCAGATGTGCAGCCTGGGTTTAGAAGAGGCCCTGGTACTAGGGATATTATAGCTAATGTTGGATGGATCTTGGCAGAAAGCAGGGAGTACCAGAGGAATGTCTATCTGTGTTTCATTGACTATGCAAAGGCATTTGACTGTGTGGATCATAACAAACTGTGGCTGACTCTGAGAAGAATGGGAATCCCAGAATACTTGATTGTACTATGTAAAACCTATATTTGGATCAGAAGGCAGTCATCAGAACAGAGCAAGGAAATACTGCGTGGTTCAAAATTGGGAAGGGTGTGTGTCAAGGATGTGTCCTATCTTCATACCTTTTCAATCTATAAGCAGAACAGATCATCCAGGAGGCTTGTCTCTATGAGGAGGAATGTGGCATCAGGATTGGAGGAAGACTCATCAACAACCTGAATTATGCAGATGATACAAACTTGCTTGCTGTAACTGAGGAGGACCTGAAGCACTTGCTGCAGAAGATCATGCACTGTAGCCTTCAGTATGAATTCACACTCAACATTAAGAAGACAAAAAGTCTCACCACTGGGCCAATTGGCAGCATCGTGATAGACAGTGAAGAGATTGAGACTGTTAACCGCTTCAGTCTGCTTGGCTCCACCATCAACATTTTTGGTACCAGCAGACAAGAAGTCAAAAGATGAATTGCTCTGGGAAAGTCTGCTGTCAGGGACCTCTTCAGAGTGTGGAAGAACAATGATGTCAGTCTGGAGACTAACGTGGGCCTGATCCAGGGCATGGTCTTCACAGTTACTTGCTGTGCATCAGAAAGCTGGACAATGACTAGGGATAATAGAAGGAGAATTGATGCCTTGGAGCTGTGGTGCTGGAGGAGAGTGTTGAATATATCATGGGTGGCTAGAAGAACAAATAGGTTTGTCCTGGAGAGGGTGAAATCAGGTAAAGCTCTGTCTGACATACTTTGGGCAGGTTGCAAGGAGGAACCTGTCCTTGGAGAAGGATATCATGTTTTGGAGGGTGGAGGGACAGTGAAAGAGAGGAAGACCCTTGACTAGATGGATTGACTCAGTGACTGGAGTCATGGGGGTAGGTGTGTCAGAGACAATAAGGTTAGCTCAGCATAGAGCAGGGTTCAGAGCTGTTGTACGTAGGGTTGTTATGAGTTGCAAGTGACTCAACAACATATTACAACAACCCCTTTTTATCCATCAAGTTTAACAAACTTTATGTGGTAGTGTTCTTATATAACCAATTTGAAGACATTAGACTTTCCACTTTGAAACTTATTTTATCCTTACATTATTAATAGCATGAAAGTGGTTGTTCTTATAGTTGGGTGCCAGCAAGTCAACTACCATTCACAGCAACTGTGAAAAGAACAGATAACACGCGGGGGTGACCGAGTCTGACTTATACTTGCTTCATAAAGGAGAACCTTCCATCAATAATGTTCATGGCGCCATCCAAATCGCTGCATAGTCCCTCATGCCTCCCACGTGCTTCTGCACCAACTTTTGCCAGTCTTTGGGTCTGATGTTTGTTTTTGACTCACAGATTTTACTCCCAGTCGTGGAGTTTATTAGAAAATAGGTGGGAGAGTGGGGAGGCAAGGACTGTCTCACAATGCACGTCCAGCTAAGTCCAGCAGTCCTAAGCAAGTTTAGCAAGACAGTCTCTCAATTAGTGAAATTCTAGGTTCAGTTCAGCAGCGCAAATCCAAGAAGCCTCTGACTTCCTCAATCATCCAGCAAACTTCATCTCAGAGCAGTTATATGTCAGTCTTTTCCTTCAATCACCCAGCAAGCACAACCTTTAACTATGGCTTTTATCTCTAGGGTTCCTTTGCTTAAACTTTGCCAGTCTCTCCACAGCAGTGCCACAGTCTCTTCACAATCTCTCTACTCTTGTCACTGTCCTTTCTCAGTGTGGAAAGAGCTCTCTTACCTTGGCCCCACAGCTGTTGATGATTTTCAAGATCATGTATCTGCAGTGAAGGTTGCTGGAGAGCCACACAGTGGCTAGAAAAGCCAGTTTTCACGGGTTCTGATAGTCCAGCAAGCCTGTGAATAACCTGCTCTGTCCTGCTGCATCGTCATGATGTCTGATAGGCTTCATTCAGCCTGTTGCTCCAGTCGCTGTGCGGATCCACCTGGGGGAGGGTCTTCCTTTCTCTGATCCTCTGCCTTTTCCATCATGGTGTCTTTTCCCAACCACTGGCTTCTCCTGACAGCATGTCCAAAGTATATGACATGACGTTTCACCACCCTTCTCTCTACTTTTGTCCCTGTCAGTGCACTGTAACGTGTTTATCGTCTTAATAGACTCAATCGTTCCCTTGGTAAAGAAAACACTTCCAGCTTTTACTTTGTCATTGTTGTTGTGTACGTGTGGTGTGTGCGAGTGTGGTGTACATGTGCGTGCATGGGTGTAATGTGTGTGTGTGTGTGTGTGTGTGTGTGTGTGTGTGTATACACAGGTGAATACCACACATCTACTGGATCATGTGGCTATGTTCACAGGCACACCTGACCAGGTCCCTCCCCAGTGAGTTTCACAAATTAAAAGCTCTTCTGTGTCACAGGGGACATAGTGCGAGGTGCAGCTCTGTCACCAAGAGGAGACTGTCTCAGTGTGCTGCTCAAGCAGGCCTCTGGGGTTAGTTCCTGTCCCACTGCTGGATTTTACATCTCCTGATGCTGCTTCCTCGTTTCAAACTTTCCTGTTTCAGTCATCAGTAAAAAGAAATACAATTTGTTTGCATGTTTGACTAATTTCATATTGCAAATATGAGTAAAAAAAATCTTCATTTTCTTCATCTTTAGACTTAGTGGTCAATTGTTAGACTAGTCGCATTAACTCCTCTTCCCTGTGGGGCTATGCTATCACCAACAACTTGTAGGGAGTGCTGATGGCTGCTGGTGATAACCGTGCTGCCAACGCAAAGGTGAAGTCTTCTAATCCACCCGCGGTTCCTCGTTCCTCGGGAGAAGGGTGGGCGATCTCCTCCCATGCGACTGACTGCTCTGAAAATCCTCTCGAGGGTCAGCTATGGGTGTATCCCAACCTGACAGCATGTAACAACCACAGCTCTGTGCTCCAAATGCTTTTTTGGCTATTTGAATAGTGATGTGGTGGCTTTTCTTTCAATTTGCTGTTCCTTGCGTGTTAGCCTGTGTTTGTCTGGTTCAGGACGGTTAATCCCAGCCCATTTTGGCTCCCTAATGCCTAATGTTTCAGGGTAACACTGCATGGTTTAAAATTGGGAAGGGTGTGTACCAGGAATGTGTCCTGTCTCTATACCTTTTCAACCTGTATGCTGAGCAGATTATCTGAGAGGCTGGGCTCTATGAGGAGACACGTGGGGTCAAGATTTGTGGACGATCTATCAACAATCTGCGTTATGCAGATGACACAACCCTGCTCACTGAAACTGAGGAGGACCTCGTGCACTTACTGCAGAGGGTCAAGGACTGCAGCCTTCAGTATGGACTGAGGCTCAATGTCAAGAAGACAAAGATTCTCACCATTGGACCAATTGGTAGCATCAGGATGGATGGCGAAGAGATTGAGATTGTTCACAGCTTCAGTTTGCTCAGCTCCACAGTCAACACTCTTGGCTCCAGCAGCCAGGAAATCAAAAAACGTATTGCGATGGGAAAGCCTGCTGTTAGGGAACCTCTCTAAAGTACTCAAGAGCAACGGTGTCTCTTTGGAGACGAAGGTGCGCCTGATACAGGCCATGGTCTTTGCAATAACTTGTTATGCATCAGAGAGCTGGACAATGACTAGGGAGGATAGAAGGAGAATTGATGCCTTTGAGCTGTGGTGTTGGAGAAGAGTATTGAATGTACCCTGGACTGCCAAGAAAACAAACGGATTCATCCTTGAGACGGTTAAACGAGGCTACTCCTTGGAGGCAAAGATTCTGGGGCTTCATCTGACATACTATGGACATGTTGCAAGGAGAGACAGGTCTTTGGAGAGGGACATCATGTTGGGTAGAGTAGAGGGACAGCACAGGAGGGGAAGACGCTCTATGAGATGGATTGATTCGGTGACTGGGGTAATCGGGATGGGTGTGTCAGAGGCAATGCGATTGGCACAGGATAGAGCAGGGTTTAGGGCTGTTGTACATAGGGTCGCTATGAGTCGCAAACGACTCAATGGCACCTAACAACAACAACAAACAATGCTTTCTTTATGCACCTGTCTACCTATTCCTTTCCAAGCATGATGTCTCTTTCTAAGGACTGGAACCTCATGAAAATATGCCCAAAACAAGTGAGATGAAGTTACACTCACCTCACCACTCAGTTAGAATCCTTTTCTTGCTTCTAAGGAGCTCTCTGGCCGGGCTTCCTTCAAGACCACTTTTTAGCAGTCCAAAATATTCAATACTCTTCACCAGCACCACAGTTCAAAGGCAATATTATTTTAAAGAAAATATTTTTGCACATATGAGATTGGGTGTAGCTTGATGAGGTTATTTTAAAGGAATTGGTTCAGATCCATGGGCTCATAATTCTGATCTAAGGGCCAACTGTACCACTTTTTCCTGTTGGTACTGCTTACAGATACAGATTTCTAGAATTAATGCTCCATCTCTAAATTGATGTTCCAGTGATGAGTCCAGTGATAGCTGTAGGTTTGATAAGAGTTCCAGGCAGCTATGATGCTGGGTTGCATTAGGGACCTCGGGAGACAATAGTTTCTTAGCCCGCTTTCAAATACACTGTCCTCTTTTCAAGAAGCATTCCCTTTCCGCAACATCTTCTTCAAAGCATTCTTCACTTCTTTGTTCCTTAGACTATAGATCAGGGGGTTGAGCATGGGATTGAAAAGGCTGTGGAACAAAAGGAGATACTTCTTCTGCTCCTTGGGGTTGCCATATCGGGGTCCAACATACGTGATGATGGCTGTGCCGTAGAAGAGCCCCACCACACAGAGGTGGGAGGAGCAGGTGGAGAAGGCTTTCTGCCGCCCCTCCCCAGACTGGATCCTCAGGATGGCACAGATAATACTAATATAGGAGATGACGATGGAAGAAAGTGGCCCCACCAGGACAGACACAGCCCCAGACAACACCATGATTTCATTAATGTGAGTATCTGCACAGGCAAGCTTGAGAACAGCCATGATTTCACAGAAAAAGTGATAGATTTTCTGAGTTCTACAGAAAGGCAATGGCAAAAGTAATACCAGATGAACTGAGGACAGAAAGACCCCCACGGTCCAAGAAGCAGTTGCCAGGACAAGACAGACCTTCCAGCTCATGATGGCGGAGTACCGGAGGGGATGACAGATGGCCACGTAACGATCATAGGACATCATAACCAGCAGAAGACATTCCGTGATGGCAAAAGTCAGGAAGAGGAAGGTCTGTGTGAGACAGCCTGCAAAGGAGATGGGCGTGGTGGGACTCAGGAGGTTCACCAGCATCTGGGGCACCGTGTTACAGGCATAGGAAATGTCAACAACAGCCAGGTGAGAGAGGAAGAAATACATGGGGGTATGCAGTCTGGGGTCCATGGAGATGAGCCCCAAGATGGTCCCGTTCCCCAGCAGAGTGAAGGCGTAGAACAGGGAGAAGACTGCAAAGAGGAGCAGCTGGACCCTCGGGCCAACAGGAAACCCCAGCAGAATGACCTCTGTGATGGATGTCGTATTGCCTCCCATCTCCCTATAAAACAGGAAATAAGTTAGTGCTTAAAGTTTAAGTGCGCAAAATAATTACATTAACTTCGTTGGTACTTTATTTTGTGGGGCAGGGATATTTTCAGAGACACTTGTAATGAATTGGATATATTTTTCATAAATGAAAGTTTGATTTGGTAACTTGAACAATAATTTATATAAGTATGTTGTTGCTGTTGTTGTTGTTGTTTAATGCCGTCGAGTCATAGACGACTCATAGCGACCCTATGAACGGACAGCCTGAGCACTGTTCGCACACAGAGTTTCCGGAGGCAAGCCATTTTGGAAGTGGATGCCGCTCCTGCGTCCAGGCATATAAGTATGCATACATGGATAGATTTTGTTGTCGTTTTTATATGTATGGGGAAATAATCAACATCAACACCAACACACTTAGCGTGGTGCCAACTTCCACATTTTCACTTTAATATTATTGATTTCATTTTCACAGTGTGCCGCTATTAACTCTCCTCTCCTCTTATCCCAGCACACTACCATGGACTCCTTGTTCTTCTTTGGGGGAAAAGCCCACCACAGATTCCCGTTTGCTTTCCTTTCCTCAATCCTTCACAACCTTTGATAGTTTGGTTTCTACAACCTTCACGATGGTTTTTATTATTGTTATGTGATGTTGCATCAGAACGGATTCATAGCTGACCTTCCAGCATCTTTTCAGAGGCTGTAAATCATATTGGTCCATCTTTCTCCTTCAGAGAGACTGGTGGATATGAACCATCTGTCTTAGAGTTCACAGTGCTGTTTCTTAAATACCACTAAGCTACCATAATCAAGTCATAGTTGATCAATAATCAAATCATTCTATTGTTTCATTAAAGTGAACCATACACCCACAGTGCTCCTTAGAGGTAAGGATGGGGAAATTTCAAAAGGAGGAGGGTCAGGGGAAAATAGGAAGACCCTCAACAAGACGGACTGACACTGTGAATGGGACGAGGGCTTGAGCATATCACAGACAGTGAGTACAGGGTAAGACAGGACAAGGTGCAGAACTTTACGTAAAGGAAGCAGAAATGAGCAGCATTGACCAGTGTAAATACAAACAGAGTGATCAACAGAATCTATAAAATGGCAAGTGTATGCTTATTATTATAAATTATAAATTGTGCCTAAGGGGAGAAAAGTCATGAACTAATCCTCCATTTGCTTTGGAACTCTCCTGTCACCTTTCCACAGGTAAAGCGTGTTATGTCCAACCCGGTGAAAAGAAAATGTTTTCAGGTGCTGCTGATGCCCTGTATGCATGTGACATCGCTCGGGGAGCAGAGACGGCTGTGGTACAGGCCCAGTCTCTGTCTGGTCTCCTCAGATTACATGAGATACAAATAAACAGCAGAACACTTACCTAAGGAATTCTTGATATTTCTTCTTATACACCTTAGTATTTATCTTCTATCTTCATTCATACATAAACTTAAGTGCAGTGTTTTTCAATGCTTACCTTTTTGGTGTTAATATTAAACATTTATCAGGAAGGAATTAGAAAACTCGTATTTCTTCACTAAAATTTAGCCACTCAAAAAAGACATTGATATGGTTTATTCAAACTGTACTCAATGTTCAAAGAACAGGGTTTGATCTTTAAAAGAATAAAAATATACCTCAGCACAATGAGAAATGTGATAGTAAAAAGAGAGGTAATAAAAATCATTGACTCTCTAATAGACTTGAGCAGAAGTCACAGAGGAAGACAAGCAGGCACTGATGTCTAGAAGGGATTGTTTCATAAGGACCCCCATAAATCTTCATGCACAACAGGCTGGCTTCTCCACGGTGCAGTTTCCCCATGTTCTGGAAGCCAGTTGCTCCTCTGAGAAATACCCAGCAGAGGTCTTGTTGTTCACACGCCTTTGAGAAGGAAGGGCTTTATGAATTCCGCATCTCCGCTGGGTCTCTTCCCAATTGTCCCGAGGGCTCTGTGCAGGGCAGGAGAGAGCCGGGTCTCCCCAGGCTCCCTGTAGGGATGGGGAGAGGCCACAAGCACTCTTGTTCTTCTGAGAGGGCAGATTGCTGGTGGTTCCTGTCTAACCCAATTGCTGAGGGGCCAGAAAGAAAGAATATAATAGTTATGTTGAAGGCAAAGGAGTTTTGTTGGGAATGCCCCTTAGTAAAAAGATGCACATATAAATAACTGCCAACACACAATAATGCACACAAGCAAATACATCTTTAATGGATGAAAGAGAAATCAAGACTTTCTCAGGTAAAGAAAAGAGAATTTGTCTTCAACAGATGTTACTGTTTGTTGTTCTATGCCAACGAACAGACTACGATTCCTTCCCACCCTGTGAACAGGAGATCAGAACCTTGCTCTTCCTTCCACCGGCTCACACTCTCGGACATACCTGAGCCCATTGTTGCAGTCACTGTCACTCTGTCATGTTGAGGGCCTTCCTTTCTTTCTCCAACGCTCCACCTTTCCCAGTGATGTCTTTTCCGACGCTCCACCTTTCCCAGTGAGGTCTTTCTCCAACGCTCCACCTTTCCCAGTGATGTCTTTCTCCAACGCTCCACCTTTCCCAGTGATGTCTTTTCTGACGCTCCACCTTTCCCAGTGATGTCTTTTCCGACGCTCCACCTTTCCCAGTGATGTCTTTTCCGACGCTCCACCTTTCCCAGTGATGTCTTTTCCGACGCTCCACCTTTCCCAGTGATGTCTTTCCCAAGAACTTTTCCCAAGGTAAACATGTCTTAAAAGAGTGATTTCTCTGTATATCCTTGGGACCATATGAAGAGAAGAGTTGTCCAAACATGCCAGTTAGAGACAGTTTCCTGAATCTCCTCCCATGTGGTTTAAAACCTCTGAAAACCCACTGGAGGGTCATCTGTGGGTTGATTCTGGCTGAATGGCGGAAAACACATGCATTTCTTTGCTGAGAATTCCTCTTTGCTGGAGCTTCTAGTTTTTCATTTAGTTCAGTGTTTGTAGTTGCTCATTAAAGTCTCTGCTGGGCAATTTTAACATCTGTGCCATTTTGGTGTTTGTCTCTGCTCTTTTTTTAAAAAAAATCTCTTTAATTCAAGATCTTGCTGGTAATTTTGGATCTTATATAAATATGTTTTACTTTTTTTATCTTACATGACTCTGGCAAGGCAAGTGGGGTGGGAGGGCTGCCTCAGCATTAACAAGTGGAGATAGTTGTCCATGTTCCCTGTTTGGCTGCTTGCATTTGTTGAGGGGAGGAGGGGCTCCTTGTGTCTGTTGAGGGGAGGATGGGGGCTCCTTGTATTTGCTGAGGGGAGGATGGGGGGGCATCTTGGATTTGTTGAGGGTTAGTGAGAACCCTGGCTCTCTATATGGTCTCCATTGACACTGAATGTGGAGTAGTATTATTGGCCCTAAGAACTGGTACAAGGCCCGATTCTCCACCAGGTTTTCTCAATATTACTCCTGTGAGGAGGGCAAGGAGGAACCATTAATGGCTGGAGTAAGTGATCAGGCTTCCCCTGTGGGCTCAACTGACCTTTGACTGTCAGCCCTACTTGACAGCAGATATAGACCTACTTGCACTTGGCTTTCTCTAACCTCATCTTGTGAGCAACATTGGAAGCAACTTTTGGTGTGTTTTCAAGACCGTTCTCAGGAGTTACCACAAGTCTCTGGAGAATGGCAAAATGCTTGGAAAAGGAGAGAGAGAGTCAGTGAAGGAGAGGAAGATTCTCAGTGAGAGCGGCTGACACAGTGAGTTTGCGGCCAGCAGAGGCTGTGAGTGTGGGTCAGGACCAAGCAGATTTTCTTTCTGTTGTGTTTAGACTTGCTGTATATTTGAGCCACCCTGATGGCACTTACCACCACCGTTTCCACTCTCACTCCTGTGTCCTTCCTGCAACTCGGACTGTGAACGGCTAATTATCTGACCCACGGTTTCTGTATTTCAGAATCTTGAAAAAGGCATTGGACTTTCTTAGCAGACTTGGTGGGCTTTCTTTCTCTGACTTGCCACAGCCATAGGCAAAGTTAGTGGCAAAAGAATTTGAAGAAGGTGTTGTTGCTTTGCTTTAATCAGGAAGGACAACTAGATTTTACCAGATAACTGTTTTGCGGCTGTTAAGCAAACATTGTGCTCCTTCTGGTTAATGTACTAAACATAGATATTAATTTTTAAATTTTAAACCATTAATACATTCCTGGAACAAATCACACCTGGTTACAATATTATTTTCTATAACATTGAGCTCTATTTTGTACGTTTTGTTTGGGATCTTTGATCTTTCCAAAAAAAAAAGGAAGCCTGTAATTTTCCCTTCTTAGGTTATTCTGGTCAGATTTGGGTGTTCATGAAACTAGCTTGAACGGTGACTCAGAAAGTGTTTACTTTACTTTTATTCTCTGAAAAAGTTTACATGATTTACTAACTTTTTATAAGGATTCACCAATTAAGGCTTCTGATTCTGGTGTTTTCTCTGTGGGGAAGCTTAAATTACGTGTTGTGTTTTTATAATAATACAAAAATATTTTCATTTTCATTTTTTGTGTCAGTTTATGAAGTTGTGGGTTTTGATGATTCTTATGCCATCGTAGATTTTTTTGTTATTTATAGTATTTCCTATAACTCATTGGTTATTTTATTATAAATTTTAAAGTTAACTTGTGGATGTAGCTCACTTATTTCTCTGTAACTGAGTTCTTATTTAATTCCATCTTGCTGTTAAAATGCATGCTTGATGATTTCCTTCTTAAATTATTCTTATTTGGGCAAAAGTTTGAAGAGCAAATTGGTTTTCAATTCACAAATTATGCGAATATTGATTCCTGACTTTGACGGCAATATCCACAGTGTAAGGGAACTTTCTCAGCTTTCTCCAAGAGGGTACGTTCCTAGTCATCTTTCTTCCCTATCTATCATCTCCTACTTTCTGAGCATAAACATTGTCTCTGGCCAGATGCTCATCTGTTGATCTCACCTGTTGGCATCTAAGGAGTGTATGCCTCAGGTGTTACTGTTTACCTTACAGGACTACTT